TTGTACAGATCTATAGAGTAGATAAAACATGGACCACCTGGTTACTGCGTCAAAATATAAGGTGAAGAGTCAACCATTTACAGAGAGTTAAGAGCGACACACCACGATCAGGGCGTGCACCGAAACAACGAAACTTCACGTGGTGTCATCGGTTCATTTTTATAATAAAAGATCGTGAATTTCAATTTATTAAAGTGCAAGTTTAATTTTTCACTTTTGCTTCCTGAATAAACCACTTATCTACACAATGTTGCCTTTCGACCACTGTAGTGTTGAGGCATTTTCCAAACCTACAGTTTCGGAGACAAGACTCTACTATCGGGCACTGAAAAAACTGTATCTGGTACTTTAGAGTTGTATTGCTAGCGTATCATCAACAGGGATGTATGACATCGTATTACTCAAAGCGCTTCGCTGTATTCAAGCAACACTCATATAAAACTCCTAAAATAGTAGAAATGAGCAATCATTTGGGAGCAACCAATGGATAAAATGGTGAAACAAATTTCACAAACGTAGTCTTTCAGCAACACAGTTATGTACTGCCGTTATCAGAAAAAGGAAGTATAACCGACAGTGAATTTAAAAAACCGAGGGTATTTGTCATCAAAACTCCTAATTCGTATTAAAAAGGCTGTGGTTAGAGGAAACCGGATGACTATTTAGCCGGAACCTTCTGTTCCCACTCCAGTTTCAGTTTCAGTTTCAGTTTGGAAAGGACAGGAGGCTTGATGGCCTGTGTTAGTCCTGGCAATGATGGTCTCTCAGCTGATCCAACTTTCTTTTGAAGGAGTTGACGGATGGAGCCTCAACCACGTGCTGAGGTAATGAATTCCACTCGTTGATTATTCGATGGGAAAGTCGGTAGTCAGCTGACAAGTAATTCGTTCTGGGCTTGTGAACTTTTTTGGAGTGTCCTCGTAGATTTTCTGTTTTGGAAGACAAGAAAAATGAGGGCATATCAGGTGCAAATTTGTCATTTAGCAATTTGAAAACTATAATCAAGTCACCTCTGATTCTTCTATATGACAGCGGGAATAGGTTTAGCTTGGTCAGTCTAGTACCATACGGAAGCTTCACTATTCCGGGAATCAGCCTAGTTGCTGTTCTCTGAACTCTTTCCAAGAGTTCACTGTCTTTTTTAGGCAGGGGTTAGCTGCTTGTATACAGTACTCAAGTTTAGGGCGTACGAACATTGTATACAAAGTCAGAAACGTTTTAGCGTCAAGATGCCTAAAAGCCCTGCGTATGGACCATAAAGTCCTAAAACCTTTGGCGGCTATTGCATGGCAGTGTGCAGTAGTCTTTAAGTCTTGACTAACGATGACGCCTAAGTCATTGTGTGCCTGAACAATAGGTAACTCAGTGTTATTCATCGTGTATGTATCTGTACCCTGATGGCCAATATGCATCACAATACACTTGGAAGTGTTTATCGGCAATTGCCAGGTTTGGGACCATTCAGATAATCTCTCCAGGTCATTTTGAAGTTCTAAGCTATCGCCCTTGCTTTGTATCGCTCTCCATATCTTGACATCATCAGCATAGAGTAAGACCGATGACGATAGTAGACGAGGGAGATCATTTACGTACAGGAGGAATAACACTGGCCCCAAAACTGTACCTTGGGGGACTCCACTAAGCACAGTTTCCCAGCTAGACAACTTGGAGTTCACCCTTACTCTTTGTTGACGCCCAACTAGGAAGTCTTTTATCCACATCAATAGATTGCCTCCAATCCCGACATTCCTTAGCTTATATAACAGCCGGTTATGCGGAACTTTGTCGAAGGCTTTGCTGAAATGGATGAAAGCTACGTCTATAGGTAATTTTTGGTCCTTAAGAGCGCACCAGCTTTCACGAGCGACTAATAAGTTTGTGAGACAAGAGTAACCTGTTCTAAAACCATGCTGCTTTTCGGAGAGGATCCGGTTTTCATCGAGATACTTTAACAGTTCCTTCCGAATAATCTTTTCTAAGATTTTAACAACCAGACTAGTTAGGCTAATGGGTCGGTAATTCTCAGGCTTATGTTTTGTACCTGTTTTGAAGACAGGACTTACTATGGCGTTCTTCCAGTCTTTTGGTAGACGAACCTGGGTTACGGATAGATTAAAACATACACTTAAAGGGTTCGCAACAAAGTTAGCTAATTCCTTTAGTAACCTAGGATGCAGTTCATCGGGTCCAGTGGATTTACCTATGTCAAGCTTAACTAGCAGACCAAAAACATCGAGTTCTTCAATGGTTACGCTGTCCAGTGCTTGTGTGGGTGGATTTTCATGGACTGGTGAGAAGGGTGTTTCTATGGTGTATACATCGCTAAAGTATTTAGAGAATACTTGAACTTTGCCAAAGTCATCCTCTACTAGTGATGTGGCAGTACTGTCTCCCCATAATGAAGGAACATTTCTTCTTCTTTTTGTCCTTTGGTTTATATACGAATACAAGCGTTTAGGGCATTCTATGGATTCCCTAACGATTTTCTCTTCGTACAGCTTTCTGGCCTTACGGAGGGTCGAGGCACAGGTATTTCGAGCCTTTTGATACTGAGATTTCGCCTCGTCAGTCCCCAGTAACCTAAATCTGTCCCACATTTTCCTTATTTTACGGAGAAGGATGCGAACCTCCCTACTGAACCACGGTGGGGAGTTTCTCGGTCTCTTAGGTGTAGTCCAAGGGATGTGGGGGGCGGTAACTTTTAAGTATAAATTCCGGAATACGTCCCAAGCCGTTTCGATTGATGACTCTGGATCTAATTTCCAATCTACTAATGATGCTGATTTCATGATGTCTGGTATGTTTGCTTTCCAGACGTTAGGTCTGGATTGAGCTGAAGCGTACTCGTGATCGACAGTTATATGGAAGTCAAAGCTTAAAACTGCATGATCACTTTTGCCTAGGGGTGGCATGTAATCCAGGTTTGCAACATCATCCTCATAATGAGTCAATATAAGATCTAGTAAGGATGATGCAGAACCCGGGTCGTACCTAGTTGCTTCCTTCACGTGTTGCACTAGAGCACAAGTGATTATCGCATCAACTAGTTCCTGTTCGAAGGAGTTTGCTGACGATTCAGTCCGAAGATTTCCCCAGTCCACCATGGGTGCATTGAAGTCCCCTAAGATTAGACATCGATCACTTCGTGATAAAGTGTTGAGACTGCTTAGCAGGACCTCGTTTGCCTCACAGCTTGGACTGCGATAGATCAAACTAAGTAGTAACTCTTGTCCCCTGCATTTCAGGCGGCAGCAAACTAATTCATACGTCCCACTCTCATGGGATACACTGTCGATAATGGTGAATGGAATAGCATTCCTAATGAATAGAGCTACTCCCCCTCCTTTACGCGTTTATATTCTATCGGCCCTTACCAATGTAAAACCCTCGAAATCAAGTTCCCTACTATCTATAGACGGCGTCAGCCATGTTTCTGTGACTGCGATTATGTTTGGCCTAGTTGAGTCAATCTGTACACCTAGTTCCGGTAGCTTATTTAGTAAGCTCCGGGCGTTGGTATAACAGATCCGAAGCCTATTTAGGTGGCCTCATGCTTCACCCAGAGTGGCTTCGGCATCATCCTCTGTCGAAGCCTCACAACCCGAAAATTTACAATTTTCAGGTCTTTTTCGCCAGCGTCTAATCTGAGCTGTAGTTCCTTTTCGGCTTCGCATCTTTTAACACGGTCCGCCAACGGTAAGTCCTTACGGAGAAAAACTCCTGAACCCTTTAATTTGTGTCCATTTTCTAAGATTAAGTCGCGTTCGTTTGAGGATTTGAAAACGACTTTGAGTAGTCTAGACTGATTTGGTTTCAGATGCGCTAGATTTCCTAATCTATACACCTTTAGCAAGGTGACTCCGGGGATGTTTTTGGGCATAACTTGGTTGAGTAGTTGTTTTATCAACACAATGTCATGCTCAAAACGAGCTTTCGGTTCTAAGTTGTCACTCTCCTTGACTCTATGGAGAATGACTGATCTGTCGCTGTGATCAGACCTCGGCTTGTCGACCCTTTTGGTGGGGGTATGACTTCCTTTTACGTCATTTTGGCGTTTTTTTCTTACGACCCGTACCCAATCGCCAACGTTCTTTGGAGTGGTAACCTCAGTCGCGTCAGGCGTACTGTGGGATTCCGGAAGAGTCAGGACGACTTGGGAGATCGGGCCATCTTTCGCGCTGGAAACCGATCGAGCCTTGCGGTTTCGGCTTCCTGAAGTTCCCTTCTGGGTACCATTTTTGATACGAGGGACAGAAGAGACTTTTTTGCGCGAGTTTCTGGTTGTAACAGTCCTCTTTGGAGGATGTTCTTCCTCCTTAGTAGGGTGTGGGTCGGCAGTTTTTGGACTCACTTGGGCCTGCCTTGTGTCAATCTGCGTGTCGACAGATTGAGTTCTGACTGATGTATCCCGACCGCGCTTGCCGAGACACTGAAAAAATATTTATTAGGACGTGAATCTGTTGCGCAGAGAAATATAAATATGTAGCGTGAATAACTTGGATGACATTGATGAGAAATGCATCCCTTTAAAAACGGTCCACAGTAGCCAGAAATACTTTATTCACCAATCTTTCTTGCAAAAATCTGAAAACAGTGCAACAATATTAACGATATCCATGTGACACGATTCATTATAAACTAATTAAAATGATGGAGACTGTAGAAACTTTGTACGAGATAGCATATGTCGGATCAATCATTTACTAAATCATTGAGTGTTTTTGAGACCAGGAGAAAGGTCAAACTGAACAGGGATTGATAACTTATTTGTCAATGCGTCTAAAAGATTATTCCTATGCGCATTTGGACCTTAGTAAAAGAACTGATTCAAGATTTGAGAATTAGAAAAGTTACCAACAATATACCAAGAAAATACTAACACTGAACCGAAGTGACTGCATATGAAATACAGAAGTAAAGGATAGGACATGCAACAAAGCGATATATTAAATAACAGAAGTGAAAACGATTGTTATGAAATTAATGTTACTTAAAAGATTCTCCTGAGACAGCATCTAAAAACAGAGATCAAAGACTTTACAAAGGATCCCCTGTACGGGTTTCACCAGCTGCGTGAATGAAAACATAAATCCAATGACGTTAATAAATAATAACCTAAGCCAAGAGCAACATCCAGTGTAGGACCGTCAAAAGGAATGCAATGCAACCATCATTATCTTCATTAATAGGCCATAGCCTGTGGAACAAAAAAATACACGACAGTGAGCATTTATTTAGAATTGAGAATATCCGCTTATTTACTAGGATTGAATGATGGTTATATACTCTTGTGAGGGATTAAGATTAGGATTGAAATTCGGACGTTAATGTTAGTAGTTCAAACAAACATCATCTTCAATGACAAAGTTGCTATTCAGCCACATAGATGCATCATTATTGTGACGAAATCCAAGACTTGTTACATTAAATCTGATTGGTTTGTCCATAAATTATAGTGTCGCTCTTAACACTCAAAGGCGTTTACTCCTAATCTCAACATTTTCTACCACTAAAACCCAACCCTGAAAACCTGGACCAGGCGCTTAACCCCAATAGCCCTAACACTGACACACACAACACTCTGGGCAGAAGCGTAAGAAGTTTGAGTTAAACAGCCAGAATAATGATGACACACCAAGCGTTTTGCGTGAAATCTAAATGGAAGTGGTAGTTACCTTTTGAGCTATTAAGAAGGAAGTATATATCGAGAAAGCTGTTGCCAAACTGTTTGAAATCAGCTAGTTTATCTACTATGCAACAGGAAGGTTACTGTACAATGGTACTTAAGCTTAGTTACATAATGTGAATGTGGTAAACCACCTGATGAGATTCAATACATCGAAAAGAGTGCTCCGTGCGAATTGGTAGAGTTAATTACGTAGTTATTTGATAGAATAGTGGTAAAGAGATCCTCAAACAAAACAGTTTCGTAAGTCTTCGAAATTGATGCTGCCTTCATTAGCTTTATTTAACACACAGCTTCACTTATCTTGGAAGCATGATGTATGACAAATTTCTGCATGCATTCAAAAAGCGCTTTTGGCTTTTGCCAACTTACGTCACCTCAATAGAAAGCAAGATATCCGTCTATCAATTAAGGAACATGTATACTGAGCGGCAGTTCTTTCTGATTTTATTCACGGCTGCGAAACGTGGCCATTCAGGGTAGAGAATACGCGTCAGTCACTAGTATTTGATCACAGATGTCTTAGAAATATTGCTCGCATTTGCTGGGATCACCGGGTAAGTAATAGTGAGGTTAGTCTTGGGGTATTAGGGTATGATGGTAATTCAGTTGATGAAGTTGCAAACCTTCATAGACTGAGATGGTTGAGCCACGTGTTACATATGTATGAACACTGATTACCACGACGCACAAGGCTGACTAGTGTTGGAGACTTTTGAAGGAAAGTTGGGGGCGACCAAACCAAAATCGTGTTATCAGTGCTTGAAGTCACTAACTTCTGTTCTGAGTCATGTTAGTATATGCAGACTACTTGGTGTTCGCGTGACTATCGTAACCAACGGTTGAAGACTCTGGGTGACACGTCTAAGAATCGATCAAAATGATGTAGGTGTATACACTCTCTGTCTTCCTTTAAATCGTAAGATTCAAATTACCTTATACCTTACTTTCTGCGAACTAATTCTTTCTTCCCTGTATCATATCCTTGCATGCAAACACATGGCCCAATCATCTCGGTCGATGAAGGTTCGCAACTTCATCAACTGAATTACCATCATACCCTAATACCATAAGACTAACCTCACTATTACTTACCAGGTGATCTCAGCAAATGCGAGAAATATTTCTAAGACATCTGTGATCAAATACTAGTAACTTACGAATATCTTCTACCCTGAATGGCCACGTTTCGCGGACGTAAAGTGGAACAGAACGAACTGCCGCACAGTAGACTCGTCCTTTAATTGATAGGCGGATATCTAGCATTCACCATAGATGGAGTAAGTTGTATCAAAAAGTTCCTTCCATATTTCGCGCCCTTTCTTGTTCGAATCGCTGTGTAAATTTTGCCTGGAGGGTTACTAAATAACCGTTAATCGAGTTTACTTTTGTATTAAAGATTTAGTTTATAACTGTAATTTTTCTAGAACAAAACTAAGTCTGCTCACTGTTTGCGATCCATTAATAATCTAACTAACCAAACTATATATCACTGCGCATTGTCTATCGAATAACATTCTGTTCATTCATTTTAACACTCCAAAAAGTGATGAGCATTATGATTTTCAAAACTGTCCCATCAATTACTATAAAAATATAAGTAGCATTGGGTGGATGGAAATTTCTGAATGGATTCAAAATGCTCGTTTGGCTTTTGCCAACTTACGTCACCTCAATAGAAAGCAAGATATCCGTCTATCAATTAAGGGACATGTATATTTGGCAAAAGCCAAACGAGCTTTTTGAATCCGCGCAGAGATTTCGCCAGACACCAACCAATTAAGGCTGATTAGACTTCTAATATAAGTGAGGTTGTTGAAGCAGGCCGATTCTGAAGCAACAACTTGCATTTAGAGGGGGGGGGGAGAAACGCATCCCAAATGTTTTGGCATTGATGCTCAGTGCTACCAAGAATCTTCACTTTATCAGCATCTTCACCAAACAGGACTATGTCATTTATGTTTTCCAAGTCAATGGGTAAGTGGTCCTCCTGGTAGGAGATCAACTCCTAAAACTTCAGTCGACGAGAACGTTATTTCCAGCTGTAATGTTGGGGAGATCCAGAAAACCCGAATAAAACTAACGAAGGCACTGGAAACGCTAAGATGCAACTTATCCAATCAGCATTGCGATAAACATCTAAAATGTGAAAAGTCACATGTCGAGTTTCTGATCGGATGACTACCTAAACTGCTACTACGTTTAAGTAGCATTCCAGAATTTTCCGGAAACCCAAGGCCATCTAAAATACTATAAAAACCCTTGATTTCCTGTAGATAAAAACGAATCTTTGTAGTAAAACGTTCCTTCCATATTTCGCACCCTTTCTTGTTCAAATCGCTGTGTAGATTTAGCCTGGGGGGTTACTAGCAGAGCTTAGGAACCGAATCTAGCGTTCAATTAGAAGACTTATCAAGTAGGTCTATGATGAAATTAAACAGAAATGGAGATATTGGACAACCTTACCGGACACCACTTGAGATTGTGAAACCAGATGATAGTTCGACTCGTAGTCTTTGAGTAAAGAGTCTTCACAAGGTTTATGTACTTCTGAGGCACACCTTTCACTGGCAGACACTGCCACAGAACCTCTCAGTCTACAGAGTCAAATGCTGCTTTTAAGTCAATAAAGACTACAACTGCAATAAATACATTACAGAAATATATTAAAGTGAGTTTGCAAACATTTTCAGAAGTGGATCTGCATACTGATAGTGGTGTTTGTAAGGTTTGTACGTACATAAATGATTAAGATTTAATACAAAGAAAATTTCAATAAATAAACGCTTTTTCAATAAGAGGTTTCGACCTAATTGTAATAGGAGTGAAGATGAGTGATGTAAATTAGATACTTATCGAATGCATCACTCTCGAGAAAGCTGAGAGTTAACACTTTGAATTTCCTTAGCAAGTATGTGTGCACGACAAGAAATATATATTAGTGTAATTACTCTTCTCAGTAGACAGTAAAATCATTCTTACCGTGTTATCTATTGCAGAAGGAACATTTTTCACACACAAATTATTTTTTGAGCTGTTGGGTAGTTCTATGAGCCTTTTGTCAACTGTTTGCATGATGTTGGTATTTGAAGATGAAGACACCATGACAGATGTATGTGTGTCAAATAAAGGGACTACACGAGAAGCTTGGGAATGCTGCGTTAATGGGATATATGAAGGAGTAGTTTCGAATGCTGAGGGTTTCTCACTTCCAGAAGAGGCATCCGTAAGTGAATTAGGAGTAGTAAGAGGACAAATTACTCCAGAAGATACACTTATTACTGGAAACGCTGAAAGCTTCAAGCGATTTTGTACATAACCTGAATCGTTCTCGGCAATCTGGCGATTCAACCAAGCGATAACTGCGAAAGATTTTATAAAATTAAAGATCAAACATATTTTTTATAAAAATCCCTACAACGTTTAAATGCGACACCAATTTATTGTTTAATATTATTATTAAAAAGCTTTTTTACGGTCCAATAGTTTTCTTTAGTGATAAAGTTTTCTGAACATTATTATAGCTGTTCAAAAACGTGGATTTTGGTAAACCCTACAACAAACATAACTAAAGCAAAACTGTTATTCTTATGTAAGGATGCTTGAGCAAAGTGCGCATCTGTTGACCACAAAAGATCTCACCAAAAAGTGTGTAACCAACCGCGTATTAATTATATCTGTGAAAGTGGCACCGTCTCAAAAGTTTTGTAATAGTTATCTAAGGCTAGTATTCTGTAACTTGGTTAAACTTTCTTTAAATGATTTTATTTTACACTATATTCCACTGCTTTCTACTAATCCATAACCCAGGAGTATCTGCAATGTCGAGATTTCATACAAACGGAAAATTTTATTACTATACGATAAACAGGGGAACAGTAGAAGTGGTCATAAATGTGATAGGAATCAAAGGAATAATAACAACGACAAAAGAAGCAATAATAACATTCTAAAATCCCACATTGCAGACATCTTTTAATGAAAAGAAAATGTCAATATGTCTAACTAAAGTGGCTATTAAATGCGAGCTAATACATGAAGAAATAAATTGTCTGCCATGATCTCTAGGGAAAAGACAACACATTTATAACGCGATAGGTGTGAATCTAGTGATAATTACAGAAGCATTGAATACGATAGTATTAATAGTAATAATATAACTGACTAGTGTATTTGAAATGAATGGACAAAAGACGTGATATAAATATAGATTTACAAATCAAAGTTTTATAAGATCCTTTTAGGCATATCATCTATCGATATACACTGGTAATTAACTTCTTATAGAATAGAAAACTAAAGGTCGAATTTCGCGGCTTTTCGGAAATCGGAAAAAAATTTTATTTATACAATTTCTACCACTGACATTCTGCTTGAGGTGCTGTGTCTCGACCCTCAAAAATTGGGCTACAAGTTTGAACCCCCTCAAACCAACATACATCTAGACAACCATGTTGTGTTACCAGCCTTCACAACTGAAGAGTGATTTAAAAACACAGTACAAGAATCTATGATTAGCAAATGAAGAGTTCACTTAAATTCAGGGTTGTGAATTACCAAAACAAAGGTTCGATTTTGTGGATTACCTATGTTAAGGTGAAAAAACTTTTAAAACCTTTTCAGTACAAGAAGTATTACTGGTACTCTAAATTCTTCGATGTTGATGATGCAACGGATATTCTAGTTTTACAACTAGATACCAGTAGCACCTTCTAAATTCGGTTGTTACCAGTCAGATAGAAAATCAGAAGTCAAACGAGAAGAGGCAGGAAAGATATATTTGATTCGTTACCAATATATCGAGGACCTTTTCTATGAGCTGGCTAATGAAACGTAGGAGCTGTGTCCCACGCAGTATTGAAACGTGATCTGGTGCGGATGCATGACCGAAAGCCTTCAGCTAAACAAGTCCACTTAAACAACGTGGTCAGCATCCAATGTCGAACACTTAATGAGCTATTGATTTTGGGGAATTATTTACAGCTACAGATCACTCCCCCCCTAGTGAGGTAGTGATGCCCCTAAGACGTGACCAGCCAGAAGTTTAAACCCAACGAATTTGTCGTTGGTAAACACTCTTCTGATAGCTTGCTTCGTTTAGCAGCGTCTGGTCGTCTTTCCTTAAACTATGGGACCAAAATGTACAACGTAGCAAATAAAGAAATATAGTACAATGAAAATTTCTGTTCCTTGCGAAACTTCGTCGTTCTTTTCCAGCCGTCCTGGAAAAGAGGAAAAATAAAACGTGTGAGTGCATGTCAAAAATACACTCGTACTTGCGTAAGGACACAAGATGAGCGGTTTTAGGAATGTCGTCAGTTGCCATCGGGATTTGGTTATAAGCTTTAACCAAGTCGATTTTCGAAAAGACAGTTGTACCTTTCAAGGTAGCTGTCAAATCGTGAATATGAGGCAGCGGGTAACGATCGGGAATGGTTTTAGCATTCAGACGCCGATAATCACCAGTTGGCCGCCAATCATTGCTGTCCTTTTTAGGGACCATATGCAATGGGGATGCCCATGGACTATTCGATGGTCGAATTATTCCTAGGTCCATCATGTGGTTGAATTCGTTTTTAGCTAACCTAAGTTTTTCGGGAGCGAGTCTTCGGGCTTTCGAGAATACAGGTGGTCCTGTAGTCGAGATGTGATGTGTAACATTGCTGGTTACACAAGGTAATTTCGATTGCGATTGGTATATCCCGGGGTATTTGTCGAGTACTGCTTGGTACAAGGGGTCTATGGCGTGCTTAATCGTGACTGGGGATAACCTGCAACCAGAACAAGGAGTTACGCAAACGGACAACTTAGTGTTTCCGTCTATTAACCTTCGTGCGCGTGTGTCGATGAGTAGATTGTGGTGTTGTAACAGGTCAATACCAATGATTGGCATAGAGACATCTGCAACCACGAAAATCCAGTGTATGGGTTTACGTAAACCCACGTTAAGGTAGACGTACCTTTTACCGTAAGTAGCGATCGGCTTTCCGTTTGCCGCCTGTAAACTTAAAACAGACTCGCGAAGTCTGTCGTCGAGATTTGCTGGAAGAACGCTAACTTCTGCGCCAGTGTCGACGAGGTAGCGAACTTTCGTAGTCACATCCGTGACATATAAGAGGCGGCTGTGTTCGCCGGCTACGGTTGCCGTTAACGCGTGCCGGCTGGGAAGTTTCCCGAACTGTTTTTCGTGTCACTCGATTTTGGGGTCGGATAATTACAAGGTTTCCTGCAATTTCTGGAAAACTTACCGTACTGGTTATGATACCAGCACCAGTCGGGATTGTCTGTCTCTCGTGGTCGAGAGCCAGATCGCTTACGTGAGGCACTTCTACGCGGGGTTTTTGACCGACTACGGTCATTGCGTACTCTAAGATATCGTGTAAGCGTGTGACATAGTTCGGCCATGTCAGTCGAGGTCGATTGGGGTTTTTCTTTGACGGAAAAAACCTCGGCCTTAGAAGATCTAGTGATTTCCAAGATTCGATCGGCAGATGCAGCTAGTTCATCTATGGCATTGTTTTGAAATGAAACAAGCACTGCCTGCACCTGTTGAGGGAGTTTAGACAAGAAAAGTTGTCTAAATAGGCCATCATCGAAAGTTCGTTGGCCGATGACTTCTCTCATTCTAAGCAACATGTCCGTCGCAGAACCATGTTGCAAGTCGATATTGTTAAGGAGTTGGTCTAACCGTTGTCGATCAGTTAGGTCTCCTCGTTTTAAAATCGATAGCTTAAGCGATTCGTAAGGTTCGGAAACATCACTAGTAAACATACTAGGTGTTACGTACCTGTTAAACTCGCGCGGTAACGCCTTAACTACCGCGAGGAAACGTGTGCGCGAGTCCGTGATTCCGTGCATGCAAAAATCGGCTTCTGCATAGCAGAACCAGGACTCGATATTGTCGGGCCAAAATGGCGTTAACTGAATCGAAATAGGGGGAATAGACTTTAACTTAAAAACCTTGGGTGAGTGTTCCGTCATAGTAATATAGCTAACGAAAATGTCTAATTAAAATATATCCGGAAAAAAAAAAATTCGCGAAAAAAGTATATCACAATATATAAAATTCAAATAAAGAATAACAATGAATAATAATGTTCCAAAATGGAACAGACTCACAGTATATTGACTTGGTGTACCAGATCACGTCGGGTTCACCAATGATGATGCAACGGATATTCTAGTTTTACAACTAGATACCAGTAGCACCTTCTAAATTCGGTTGTTACCAGTCAGATAGAAAATCAGAAGTCAAACGAGAAGAGGCAGGAAAGATATATTTGATTCGTTACCAATATATCGAGGACCTTTTCTATGAGCTGGCTAATGAAACGTAGGAGCTGTGTCCCACGCAGTATTGAAACGTGATCTGGTGCGGATGCATGACCGAAAGCCTTCAGCTAAACAAGTCCACTTAAACAACGTGGTCAGCATCCAATGTCGAACACTTAATGAGCTATTGATTTTGGGGAATTATTTACAGCTACAATGTATTTTGTCCTGATTAACTGAACGAAATATCAATGGAATTTTTCCACTGCTTTCTATGATACCAACCAGTGATTTTTGACAAATATGAAACAGAATAATACACTACGACGAAACAATAGTGAAAATCAGATGAACATATCTGCTAAGAAATCCAGCCTATTTGAATTAACACAAAATAAACTCAGTCGGGATATTCGTGGAGATTGTAGTATTTTCACAGTTGAAATCGTGAGTCAACCTAAATTAATTACATAAAATCAAGGATTAACGATCAATATCGCGATATCTGGCTGTTATGATAGAAGTCTAACGTTTGAATAGTACTCTAGAATCGGCCATTCATAATGAGTCAGAACAACTAATTAACAGTGTGTAGAAATCAATCAATATCAAATCGAATTATGATTGAATAATTGTGCAATGAAAATTCAAATGAACAATTAACACTGTTCATCGTCAATTCACACTAATTTGTAGTCATAATATTTCCTATTCAATCATCTGACTTCTTGAATGTGTACAGGCTTTATTTGCTGTTGTCAGTGCAAAATGTATATACAACAAATTATTTTCACCATAAAACATTGAGATCCATCCTCAAGTTCCCATTGCACCGATTGGTTTTTGGATAATAGATTTCATTGAATCAATTCTTAATCTACTAATCGCGCGACATAACATAATAGTTTGGATAAAAAACCAGATTAACAAAGCAATAAAGCCACTAGATCACGCTACCTACATATCCAAAAAAATAATTATTTTAGAATCCAATGCAAGATGTACATTGTACTTGCTAAAAACCCATCACACACCACTGATTTCAAAATTACCAATTTGAGACGTTTTATACCTTATAGAAATCCGTTGTTATTTCGCAACAATTGATATGCACAGATGACCGTCGAGCGTTTAGATAGAAGTGCTCAAAATCTTTAAAATTTAGGTGTACTACTTCATTAAGTTCTCACCAAAAGGTGATAGCAAACACTATCTCTAATAAAAATGAATATCAGAAAAGATTGTTTTATACCATGAATTCAGTCAAATAAGCACAAAACTAAATATAAAGGATTTCATCGTGAACTATGATATACACATATATGAATACATCGTGTACGATTAGTTCCATCGATAAAATATTGGTTGTTCTTTCTTTATATAAAAATAAATCGTAATTAGTTTCGCATAACTTACTTGTTTCATTGGACTTGATTGTTTTCTGAGCATCTGCCAAACTTTTCAAGGTTTGATCATGCTCTTCAACAATCTGAGTGTTGCGGTTTTTGACATTCGTGATTTCTGATCTTAATTTATCTAGTTCGGTATGTAGTCTCTGAATTTCAGAGACTTTGGAAAAAAGTAAACGCTCCTGTTCCGCTGCTACTTGACCGTGTAATTTAGCCTAAGACAAATGAATATCTAAGTGTTTACATTATTATTTAAATGTAACGTTGTATAGAATAAAACATTCCAGTTGTATGAATTACTGTACAAAATGTTAATACAATAGAAACGATACCATAGATCAACAACTAAAATGGAAGCTCAATAAATAACAAACTGAATTGTCTGATATGTTATGATTTGACTGGAGTTCAACGGTGCTAAAGTCTAGATCTAGATTCAAGGATTTGATTACTAAAGCAAGCGGTTCTGATCAGTCATAATGTATGAGTAGAGAGTACGGAAGTTATACATCAAAGATACAGTAAGATGATTATTCTACTGATAAAATTAACTGAGTTTAAAATAACGACAATATAATCCAGACCCATTGGATGGAAATCTACTGGGGATAATCACTTTTAAAAATTATATATGAAATAATCTCAGCGATTGAAATTTGAATAATCTCAACGTTTTGTCCAACACACTTGTCTGGATTGCTTCAGGGTAATAACCAAAATTATCAAAGAATACACATTATGTTCAGTATTCAAATCAAATATATACTGTGCTAATCCAATCACATTCAGATTTTGAATTTAGTAATTGGGATATTATGTTTGTTTATTTGTGAGTTTAAGTTATTATTAATTGATACTAAGTGTTAATTTGCTTTTTGTTTATTAGAAGTAAGAATACAAGTAAGAATACAACCTCACTATCACTTACCTGGTGATCCCAGCAAATGCGAGCAATATTTCTAAGACATCTGTGATCAAATACTAGTAACTGACGCGTATTTTCTACCCTGAATGGCCACGTTTCGCAGCCGTGAATAAAATCAGAAAGAACTGCCGCTCAGTATACATGTTCCTTAATTGATAGACGGATATCTTGCTTTCTATTGAGGTGACGTAAGTTGGCAAAAGCCAAACGAGCATTTTGAATCCATTCAGAAATTTCCATCCACCCAATGCTACTTATATTTTTATAGTAATTGATGGGACAGTTTTGAAAATCATAATGCTCATCACTTTTTGGAGTGTTAAAATGAATGAACAGAATGTTATTCGATAGACAATGCGCAGTGATATATAGTTTGGTTAGTTAGATTATTAATGGATCGCAAACAGTGAGCAGACTTAGTTTTGTTCTAGAAAAATTACAGTTATAAACTAAATCTTTAATACAAAAGTAAACTCGATTAACGGTTATTTAGAACACAGATATTTTGTGGACAGGGGTTTCGTAGGACAAGTAATCAGTTTATGAAATTAATGCCTGATTATCAGGAATTATTTCTGCCCTTTGTCTAAATAATACAACTCTATCTGTCAACCTTTTTCATCAACATCATGCCAGGTTATCACATTAATGCCTTACCCTTTTGTCATCGATAACTTTTTAATTGTTATAACTTTTTCGCTTTTATTGTAGACTTTCCCGTCTACAATACTTACTACTCACCTGCCAGTATCCACTTCGAGCTGTGTGATCCCTAAAGAAAATTGTGACTTAATCCGTGTTAGAGATACACTTAGTTGTAAGTTTGTCACTCGATTACGTCTTATTTTTTTAATCTTTTGTATCGTTCATTTAGGAAATAAAATATTAATCGAGTTCAATGTTGTTAAGAGCGAAATAGCAATGCTACTAATCCCACTGTACCTAGAGTAAGGAAGTGAAACAAGTAGACGTGAGAGTGTACACTAGACATTCATTTTCTAAACGAAACTTTTCAGAATTAACATACATCTTTTATCACAATATTATTAGACACTGAATTCATGATAAAATTACATTTTGGGATATTATATGATCTTGTAGAATATTCTTAATAAAACGCGACTACGAAAGTTAGTGTTCACAGTATCTTCAACATAGGTTTCTAAGTTATGGATACAATGATTTAATTGCCTGTTAGCTCTAAAAACGATCAATGTAAAAAGTATAATACCGAGTGTGTTTCTTCCAAATAAATCTGGTGCGACTGAATGTGTCCAAGGGGACATCACTTTACGGTAACACACTACGGAAAGTTAATCGTCTCCCTAAAATTACAGGAAAAAATAAGATTAATACTGATGTTTTCGTCTACCTGAAAGATTGACCGCAGTGCTCAAGTAACAGCTGCTTAAAAGTTACTAAATGCAACCTTTTTATGGCGATGTCTACTTTCAGTTTCGACTTTATGCTATTCAAACCGTGGCACCACCGCCACAAAATCATTTAGGAGAAGGTAATATATTTTTCCGAACCCCTATCAATATAGTATTACAAAATCAATGGTATGACCACCATGGAACTCCGATTTTTTCGCTCTAATATCCTTGAAAATAAAGAAACAGTTGTGAGTTTGGCCAACACATCAGTTACCACTATAAACTGTAAGGAGAGAAAAGTCATTTACAATTCCTTATCCTATGAATAAATAAGATGTAGAGTTGATAAGGATTACTCGTTTTCTCTACATATCCTTAGGCTTTACCTTAATTAGTTTGGATTCAAATTACAATTGGGGAGTATTTTGTAAAGTTTCTCGTTTTATTCTCATGTATAGATCCTTATTCGGGTTCTTCTATCCCACCCGAAATTCCTGACACATTAGCCATGGAATTCGCGGATCACAATGGCAAATCACGAAGTATTTCTGATCAAAAGATATCATCAACCAAGTGCCTAGAGTCCGTCGATTATACTAATGATCAAAACTACCATCAACAATCACTGGCTTCCGCCTATTTTCCTCAAATGTCTCTTTGATTTTCTATTTGTAATCATTCAACCTTCAAGTGAAATAAGATTGGTAGCTTTTTTCACATTTTTACAGCTGATGAATCCGTTACTTACCAATCAGTTCGGTTACACTTCTCTGTGTTCCCATTCCTAAGATATAGTCTGTAAATTTTCTGTGAAGCTAGTGAATAAAAAAGCTGTCTGCTTGCTTAGTTATTTATGAATATAGTTTTCCTAGATGAATGAATTCAATTACCACATTTGTTTCTAGTTCGAATTAGCTTGGTTTATGCTCTAGCTATCTAATAACTAAATCCGAGGATAAAAATACAAACACAAAAATAACAGCAGATTGAAGGGGAAATGAGTCATCAACAAAGTTTGCATAAAAATGGTAAAACCTGCTGGTCTCCCCCGTAAAGACAGGTCGTTTGCTCGAGTAGTTTTTTTTATCATAGTCACAATCAGTTTGTTGTTAAGTTATTTTAATCTCACGATTTAAGGGAAGACAGAGAGTGTATACACCTACACCATTATGATCGATTCTTAGCCATATGATCGAGAGTCTCCGACCGTTGGTTACGATAGTCGCGCAAACATCAAGTAGTCTTGTGGGGAGTAGTGTAACGTCGTGTACTATATTACACCTACATAGCTTATTCTAGTTTCTGGACAAGCCAATTCACCTATAACGTTATGAGTCATGTTTTGATCATGTTAATTATCAGCTTATTGACCTTGACTATTTTTTTATATGAGCGTATGTGTATGCACACTTCTTATCCTACCTATCACATGTCTGTCATTCATTTTAGCCTGACTATAAATGTTGATTAATGCTTGCTTATAACGAGTTGGCTTCCCAGCCATCTCCACTCTGCGTCATCTTTCCTTCGCTTGCTTACATTTGCTAATGTGCTCACTGCCTTCTAGCCCATGTTAGTTATCAATAAAAATGTAGTTGCTGCTTCCCTTTGTCTTCTGATATTATACACCGTTCAGATTGTTATAATAACGGTTATCAAGACGATCGATTAACGAAGCACTACACTACAGTCTGCATATACCAACATGACTCAACCCAAAACACGTGTACAATGTTGTTACTCATGATGCAAACTCTGAGCAAAAAACCGAGTTCCGAACCACATTTTGTGAGTGAATAGCATTCCTCAGATGACCAAGACATACTACTGGATGTTTTGACCACTGATCAGAAGTCCAGTGTTAAGACGAGGACACTGTAATCCTGCAGATACTGTTTTATCTGTATTAACAACACTGGAGCATCGGGTCATAGGTTTGTAACTTGCCTCATTTTGGTTTAGGTAACAATAAGCAGCACGACTAGGCATTGGAAATCGTAGTTCAAATGTATAAATATTAGTCAGTTTATCGACTGAGTTTTCGTTATTAGTTTCGTCAATTCTACCAATCACATTACGTGATTGTTTGGTCGTGACAGCGCTTTATGACAATATCCAGAAACCATTATTCCTAACCAGTTATAGTTTTAGATGTGCAATATCCATTTGGAAATCGGTAGTTTTGCCTTCGATGCTTAATATACTCGATAGTCCAAAATATGTCCACTTTTAATTATTCGGAAGTGTCAGGAATACAAAATGGTTTGATCAGCATGAACGAATCCGAGTTTCCTGGTATTAATACAAGTCTTAGTGCAGAAATATTCATAACTTGGTTTTAAAGTAGACTGGAGTTTTCATTCTGAGCATTATTATGAGTAATAGCTACGTTATGGTTATCACATTAGTGCAGTGACGTTTTTGTTTCATGTGGTTTTAACGATGTCGGACATCTTTTTAGGTAAATTATCTGATGGCTTACAAAGGCCTTACGTTCAGTCAAACCTGTTCCCACTCAACCACAATCAACTGGTGTTTTCTTCCGACACACGCTACGACTTAGTATACACTATTTTGTTTATCTCAATTCATTACTTAGACCTCCGTAAAGCTTATACGAAGGACTCTTCAAAGTGCTTCATCGCAAACCTAGATACTATATCATCGATAAGAAAGGAACTTACGATGACGTCAACATTGACGGTCTTAAAGTTGACTATTTAGAATGAAACCCTGATAGTGTTGATTTTCCTCCGGTACAATTGGAAGACACGGGGCTCACAATTACGGAACCTCACCCGATAATCATCAATCACAAAGAAACTTTGCTGGTATCTGACAACTGGTCCAGAACAACGCACTCTGCAGCAAGGTTAAGATTTCCAGAACACTCAAAAGACCACTGAATGCAGGACACTGCATAATATTTTGTTTTGTCTCGTTTGTTCGCATTTTTGTGTCGTAAAAGAGAAATAAACGTTTTGCCACTATGCTCATATATGCGTTTTCATTTACTGAAAAGAACCAGGAAAATTATTGCACAAAAATGTTTTTAAACTTTCGCATGTTATTAATACGCATGTATACAAGTTCTTTTTGTTTTGAACGTTTTGTATCCCTACGCATAAGTGCATTTTGACGTACGCTTACAATTTCATTTTTTCTTTCCAAGATGTCGTAGAAAAACTGACGAAAAATATTGTGAACAGGAACTTTCATAGTACATTTTTTCATTTCTGTGTTGTACTGCATGATCCCTTGTATTAGGGAAAGACGGCCTGATGCTGATGGACATAGCAAGCCACCAGGAGAGTGTTTATCGACGTCAGGCTCGTAGGGTTGAAACTCCTGGCTGGTCACGTCTTGGGGTCATCGGTACCCCACTCGAAGTGGAGTGAGCTGTAGTGGCAAATTAGTTTCCGAAATATGTAGTTTTGTGGGTATTTGACATTTGATGTCGACCTCATCATATATGTCTTATCAATAAGCTTGAACGATTGAGTATCAACACAACCTCTAATTGACTGACTCACTTCATATCTAAAAATCGACATCTTAAGGTCAGGATTAACTTCACTTTTTCTCAGGCTATGGAATGTCATATTGGGGTCCCCCGGGGTTTCAGTACTAGGACCTTTTCTTGATTTATATAAACGATCGTCCACAACTGGTATTGTATGACTTATTACGTTTTGCTGATGATGTGAACTTTGGGGAGAGATACGCAACCAAGAGGACATACTGGCACTTCGGGGGATCTGACTCGACTTTAAAGTTGGGCAAATGACAAGGGACTTGCCTTTAACACTTCAAAGTATAAAGTAGTCCATATGCCACATGTTGCACACTACAGTTATAACTGTGACAAAAATGTCTTTCAAGCAAACCTTGCACTGGTAACATTGAAGAGCAATTTTGGCCAGTTTGACGGTGGAACGTTCTACATAATTCCCAAAAGTTTTATTCGTCCCCATTTAGAGTACGGAAACACAGTATTTCCTCCCTCCTTCCAAAAGGATAAGGACACTCTGGAACGTATCCAACGGTGAGTCACGAAATCATTTCTAGGACTCACATTCAAGCCTTATGATGAGTGCATTCAATCCGTTAGAGTACAGGCGTCTTAGAGGTGACCATCTTATGACTTACAGTATCCTTAACACTTCTGGTCATCCCCTTAAACACCTACTTAAGCTTAGTCACATTACTAACAAAAGAGGTAACACACAGAAACTAGAGACACAACACATCAAAACGCACAGTGGATAACACTTCTACTCCTTAAGAGTTGTTAAATGCTAGATTTCGCTGCCGGTGGAGATAGTCCGAGCGACTTCCTAGATGTCTTTGAAGAGGCGACTTGACCTATTCTTAGGGACTGAGGATAACATATTGTTATGATTTACCAACTTCTTTTTTCCTGTATTATCGTTAATATACCTAGGTTCTTGCCTGGAGGTAACGGTGATCCACTGCTACTAGACACGGAAGCCCGTTAAGCGAAAGCTTCTTCTATTCCGTCCACAAAACATTTGAACCATTTGAATCTGTTTTTCTCTCAAATTCACTAGAACAACCAACGCAAGATGAGGAATAAGAATGAATAAAATTATAGCGTTATTTAAGGTTCCTCATGTCCGGTAAGCCAGTTCTTGAAACTTGTAACCATATGAGTCATTGGTTATTTGGAGTTTGAAATTAAGGACTAAAAGGTTTGACCTTGAACTCGGTTTGGCTAATACATCGCTGTATCAAGCACGTGGGAAAATCAAAGGTGGGTGCACATATTAGATTCTGTCATTGTTTAGGAGACAACTTTTCAATTCCAAGAAGCCTAGATTATGCCAATACAGTGCAGATTCTACGAGGACTTATTCCCTGAGGTCGGGGATGTCGTGCTCGTGACGGTTAAAGTCATCCAGTCAATGGGTAGCTACGTGGAACTTCTGGAGTACAAGAACATTGGAGGAATGATATTACATAGTGAGCTATCCCGTCGACGCATAAGATCTATCAGCAAGCTTGTTCGAATCGGGTCAAATACTGAGGTAACTGTGGTACGAGTCGACAGTGCCAAAGGTAACGAAATGTCTATTTTGGTGAATTCTTAGGTTATATTGATTTGTCAAAAAGAAGGGCATCTGCAGAAGAAATAGCGAAATGCAAGGAAAGATTTGCCAAAGCAAAGGCGGTTTGTTCATTATTGTCTTTAGTAAACTCTATGTAGGTTAACCAGATCTTGAGGAATGTAGCTGAAAAGTTAGATTATAAGACTGATGAACAACTTGAAGAACTATGTAGAAAAACCGCTTGGTATTTTGACAGGAAAACTGGTCGTAGAGCTGGTTCGTACGACATTTTCAAGAAAGTTGTACAGTCAGTCTTTTTTACTTAGTTTTTTGGATGTACTTTTTGAATACCCTGAAAACAACACGTTTTGTTGGTTGAGCAAGTATCTTAAATTAATCAGTTGGTTCGTCACATAGTTCTAACCGATCTCTACTTACTACTTCATTTTCAAATTTACACATCGTATGGCACAAAGACATGCTCCTCCAACAAGGCTTCTAGACAAGTCTTTTTAAAGTGACTGAAGCATTGCTGTTGACGTGATGCACGTGAAACACTTCTATTCAGCTGCTCAGTGTTATGTGATTCTCT